AGACAGACGCCCGAAATCTACCGCGATGATTCGAGGGAGTCAAAGTCCAACGCGACGACGGAGGGGTTATTATTCTCGATTGTCGCTCGATGTTTTTTCGCGCTCGTCATCGAGACGATAATAATTTTCTCTGTTGCTCGAAGTTCCTGAGCATAGATGACTGTATTTGTTTGGAGAGTCTGATGCTTTCGCTCTATACGTACCGGTTGCCACCTCGGTTTCGTTCAAGCTGTTTACGACAAGGACCTTGAGGGTCTATTTGTATCTGACATACATTACGTCGAGCTTCTCAAAAATACCTCCGCTCGTGACTTTCAGAACATCGACAAAAACAAGACCGCAACTCACTGATTTTACCCAGGAGTCGGAGAGAGTGTGACATGGCTTCGATTGAGTTTTATGCACGGACAGCGTCCTCACTGTCGGTCCTCCTAGTGGAAGTGGTGGTCCTTCGGAGAAATCAGGTGGTAGGTCTATGCGCGACCGAGAGCGGGAATCGCCGTTGTCTCGAAATCAGTCCCGATGTCCGAGCTTTTCGTCCCGCTGGGATTTCCCGCTTCCACTCACAGGGACAACGCTCCACTCAGTGGAACACAGCTACAGAATTTCACGCAGAGATATCGAAGAGCTCTTTTCGTATTTTTGTGACGACTGACAGCGATGATCTTTGCCAACAGCAAAGACAAACATCGGCCGTCAGACGAGAGCTCTGACCCACATGAGGGATATCTCGGAAGGGATTGCTCTGGCCCCAATTGAGTTGGAGAGGCTCTACGTCTCGTTGGAGCTCATGAGCGGTCCGGCTGGGTCATTTCGAGCTGGGAAAATCGTCAAAGCTGGCCGGGCTGGGAATGCGGTGTAGCGCGCTAATTCAAAACGAGCGGTATCCGCAAGAAATACAGGATTCCTAGGATTGACTCAAGATTCGAGAATATACCTACGATTCTGGATCTGCTTTGGAACAAGAGATCGGGAGGGGGTCTATATGCTCTCGCTCTCCGGAGCAAACTCAGAACTAGAACAGCAGGCGGAGCCCGATAAGGAGAATGTCTCGCGAGGGCCGAGCTGACGCGAGGAATGAGCGCGTGTTTCGGAGATTACTCTGACCCCTCACGGACCTCGGCTCAGGCACCATTGACCCCTTCCCACCGCTATCGGTGATTACGATCTGAGGATCGACATTAGCATCAATTATGGGGGGCTTCACGGGGGAGACGATTCCTCGGATCCTGTAACAAACGAAATCGAGCGACGAGGCTCAGGTTCTTGCCCCTCGATTCAGGCTTGCACAAGAGTGTTGGAAGTTTGGCGTTGAAATTTTCGACTCTGACTTCAGCGATTGCGGGAGATTTCGGAGCCGACCCTCTTGTACCGATTGGCCCGCCACTTGCTGGTGCAGTTTCTTTGATTCCTAATCACGAGGACGATTTATCCTTGCACGGATGCCAACTCGGCGCGCTGGTATACTTACTCTATCCTCGCTCCGCTGCATCGCTTCCGGGCATTCTGTGCTCTTTTTTTGGCAGACTTCATTCCCGGGATCATTGAAAATTGTGTCGTGTTCCGCCAAAAGGGTCCACGATACGGAAACAGACCGGGGAGGGATTGGAGCCCCATTCCGCCCGGTAACTCTTCGAAAATCACTCTCCAGAGTACAAGCTCGGACCATCGCCACACTTTCTCCTCATATTTTTATTAAGAGCCTGATACGTCTCTTCCCGAGAATGTGAGGATCAAGTCCAGGCTTGAAAGTGGAAAGCGTCTCGAGCCCTGACTGGACCGATCCGACCAAAATCGCGCGAGCTTTTCAAAGCAGATGACGCCGTGCGAAGGAACGACAACATTTCGTCGTGTGTCGTGTGTCGAACTGGCTCGTTTTTCGGTCACTCTAAGTGCCCTCTCCACTCTCCACTACTGCGGCCGAACGGCAACACTTGCTGCTCTTCTCTCTGTGTGACTGGTTCTCCTCATATCCTGTCGTGGGGACCTGTCAAATGGTGACGGCGTCGAGAACACTGGAACTCTCCTGTCTTCCAAGACGTGAATGTTGTCCGTGTCACGTGTCCGATCACTTGAGGAGCTAGGAGCCTGGGGGCTAGTTCTCGGTGACAGCTGCAGTGAGTTGCTAGGTCAACCGTATGCTCGTCGGGGAAGCTCCAAAGGAATAATTAACAAACGATAACCGGAGTTTCATGCCCTGACCACATAAGGAGCACTCTGAAACGGATAACTAGCAGTAGATCATCGGGAGGGAGATGAAACGTTACCACGATAAGACACCGGATGACAATCTTCGAAAAACATCGAAGACAGGAATCAAAGGCGACCCAGAGGCTCTCAGGACCGACAGAGAGATCACGGTGATGGTCTTGATTCAGCAGCATGTCTCTGGAGCTAATCTCATAGTGTAGTTTGACCCGGGTGGGAATTTGGAATCCTGACCGCTCTTGCGAGCTGCTGCCTGTCACCGCCGGCGACGGTGTACTTACCTCTCTGAATTGGGTTGCGGTGAGCAAGAACTGGCATTTGTGCAGAGGCCAGCGGTTCTTCCCGCGCGGATCCGACCGGCTCCTTATATGATTCATCGGTGAAGTGGTCGGAGATCAAGTTCATTGCTCTCGGGATTATTGAGTTATCCAATATCGGGGCAGTCAGTTTCGGATCCACCGAACTCCCGCAGGTGAAGGGTCGGGTAATTGTCTTGGCTCGGAACGCTGCGCTTAACAAGCGAGAACTTTCCCTTGCGGAATAAATGTTTGGTCTTGATCTAAGTAGGGTACCGCCTGCGCGCTCCAGAGAGGGCGATGAAAGCACTTTCTCCAGGATCGATTGCTAATCCTAATCCTTGCATCATTACAGGCTCTTGAGAAAGCTGCAGCCCACGCTAGACTCTTCCAGAGAGTCTATGGGGGAACCTCTCGAGTCGAGTTTAGCATCGGCAAATCTACCAAAGACAGTTGACGGAGGCAGAGGCTACGAAAGAGTTGCACTTCTCAGCGTGAGTACGAGTTAGAGCGGTTCGCATCGAAGTTTTCACTCTAATCCTCAGTTGGGGTTCCCCTCATCTCATCTGACGTCGATGCTTCCGATTGAAGGAGTCCGAGACACCGTCAGAAGACTATCAAGACATAGTTCGTAAAGAGCGACGTAGAAGAGAATTGGAGAAACTGCGGAAAAAAGTTCACGCGACGCGGGGGAGGTGGGAAATACAGGCAAACCCATTGGATATAGATTCAGATCAGGAGATCGACATGCTCGACATAGCACAGCACAGAACCCTTAATGGCGGTAAGTTCAGAAATCCCGTCCTTAACCCTACGACATCTCTACCACGAGCCAGTCCTGTGGTTATGACCTGGGTGATCTCGATTCATTCGCGGTACTCTTGTATCACCAGCAGCCGACCTCTCGAAGAGGCGGATCTTGTTGGGGTGTTTGGATCCTCGGTCTAGTCTATCACGACAGGATCTGCATTCGAAAGATCACAAAACTATTCCGATTCTCTTGGAATCGTGCAAATCTTTTTATTTCCCCTCCTGAGAACTCCTTCAATGCTTCAAAGTGGAAGATGGCAACTCTGAATTCTGAGCAGTGGTATTATTCATTAATGAGTGTTCCGAAATGCACGCTACCAGCTGGATCTTCGAATGCTGGAGGACTTTCCGAGGTGAACGGTCCCGAGGAGTCCTATCGCGGTAGGTCTACCTGACTAATTAGCTGGGGTGATACTGTAGACAGGTCTTCCGGAGCATCGGCAAGGTGGAACGTCGCTAAGACCCAGACCATTTAATTTGGAGATGGAGCGAACTGTCCTCTGGAGGGAGCTCGCTCGCTAGGAACATTCGGAGAGAGCCGTGTAGCCGAGTCCGCAGAACGTAATTACCTCGGCGGGACTGCGGAGCGTTCGTTTACCCTCGCCGGTCAGATCGAGACCTCTCTCTTTTGTAGCTCTTCGGGATCTCCATCGGAGATGTTCAGCTAGAAACGCCTCCTCGGTGACTCAGAGTTTTTTTCTATAGTAGGAATTCCGCAGATCTCGACCGAGGCATTCTTAACTGTTGTACCGCCGATAGAATTCATGCTTGACCATCGCGAAATAGAGTCACCGGCATGTTTCGGATCCTGGTGACGTCTCTGGGTAAACATGACGGGCGAATGGTCAAGACAGTGCTCCACCTGAGATATGGTCCTCTTGCGGGAATTCGAGCAGCTTGCTTTCGCAAGTCCCACAGATGTTTTTCCGGATTCATGAGTTGCTTCATATACCCGCAGCGTTCAATGGGGAAGACGAGCTTCCGCTCCAAGGCACTGGTCAGTATGATGATTTTCACACGATAGATTGGCAGCGCGATATAGCGAGGGACCGGAATCGTCATAGGTGAGTTTCTCCCCGGAGTCTTCCCGATCGAGAGCTCCCATAGGGGTTCTGTGTTCCCAACACATGAGCTTCTTGGAGATGGTCGTGAGCTCGAGGAATTTCGTTCAATAATTGATCGTTGTACTACAGAAATCTAACGAAGAAGAAAAGTGACTCAATATGGGCTTTCGTGTCGGGCATCCACGACGCATGGTCTGGATGGTTGTGTGTTCTCTGCGTCGGTGTCGCCGCCGGAACGATAGCCGCTGTCATCGATATAGGTTTGTTGACGACTCATTCACTTGATCACTTGATTACGTTAGACTGGAAAACTACGGAAAAATAGATCAACGATCGCAGGCGATCCGCGCGAGGCCTGCAGCTTGCGCTCGAGAGGAGTCGCTTGACAATGTCGCCCCAGCTTACGACTTGACAATGAACTTTAGAAGGCTAGTCGCGCTGAGCCTTCCTCTAGAGTCAGAGGACGTCACCGTTTAGGTCACTTGTCCTCTCAGCTGCGGCCGTCGTGTGAGTGGTCGGGAACGTCGAAACTCGCGGTGCGAGTTCGAGAGCCTCCTAGATTCCTTTTCGTCGAACTTTAACTTCAAGACCTCAAGCTATACATCATTTGTATCTCACATCAGTTTTGCTAACGGATATTTGCTGCCCGGCGGAATTACTACTTGCAAGCGACCTCGTAGAGCTCCATGCCTATGTGAAAGAGTCACCCGATACCTTGAAAGTATTTTCTTTCCCGTACGAGAGGTGCTTGTTTCGCCGTGAGATCTCTATGAAGTATCTAATCCAAGCCGGGGCAAGCCTGTGCCGAAATCCGAATCTGAATGGAATTTCGCTCCACAGGCGCGGCTTGGATGAAAGACCTCAGAGAAGGTATCTGTCCACAAGCTTTCTGGCTCAATCGAGAACATTGTTGTTGGGCCTCAAACGAAACGGCATTCGAAGGCGCGTCGTGTCGGCAGGTCAGTCTCATGTGGATATCTTGCTCTCCTGATCGAAGAAACATTCTGACCAACCCTTTAGATCAATAGTAGTCCGATGTAATCACGCTCTCATCTTTCATGCTGTCTTGCAGTGGTTCGAATGGCCGGAGGTTTTCAGCCCGAGTCCGAACTCGGAAGGCTGGGGCTTCTATGTGATCTCATATTTCTTCTACGTACTGTGGAGCCTCTTGTTCGCCTCGATCGCTGCGATGCTGGTACATACTTTCGCGCCCTACGCCTGTGGGTCCGGTATTCCAGAAATCAAAACAATCCTATCGGGTTTCATAATCCGAGGCTACCTCGGAAAATGGACTCTCATAGTGAAATCGGTATGTCCTCGATGCGCTCCCTCCCGGGCTAGTGTCGATCCATAGACGGCCGCAATAGTTTCCGAGAAATCCCGCAATAATTTGGGAGAAATCGATAAGCGAGGTGACCTTCGCCACAGGTCGGCTTGGTGCTCGCCGTATCGGCCGGGTTGTCTCTCGGCAAGGAGGGACCATTGGTCCATGTCGCCTGCTGCATTGGAAATATTCTGGCGTACGTCTTCCCCAAATACGGACGAAATGAGGCAAAAAAGAGAGAAATACTATCCGCCGCTGCCGCTGCGGGGGTATCTGTGGCCTTCGGAGCTCCGATCGGGGGAGTGCTGTTCTCGTTAGAAGAGGTGCGTGTTTTACTTCGCTTCGCTGCATTTGTAACGTAGAATGCGATTGATCCCGGGGACCCCTTTATTGAAAATAACATACACTTCCTTATGAGCAAGGGAAGGCTAGAATTCTTCAGACAAGAACTCTCTCTTACCCGAGCAGGTATCCTACTACTTCCCCCTGAAAACTCTTTGGAGATCTTTCTTCTGCGCCCTCGTTGCCGCTTCAGTTCTGCGGAGCATCAATCCCTTCGGGAACGATCATCTTGTCATGTTCTACGTTAAGGTTAGCGTTCTCCAGGCTCTGTAGGTTTACGGATAGCGACGGGAATGTGCTTATGAACCGACCGCTCCATGGTCATGCTACAAGTCGAGATTTCCAGCTCAAGAATCGAATTACAGTATACAACGCCGTGGTCCTTCTTCGAGTTGGTGCCATTTTTGTTCCTGGGTGTCATGGGAGGGGTGTTGGCGACGATTTTCGTCAAGTGCAATCTTCGTTGGTGCCGCTTCCGTAAGACTTCCCAGCTAGGAAAGTATCCTATTGTCGAGGTGAGTTCAGGGAGAATAATCGATGGAAGATCCTAACGGGACAGAGAGCTCGAAACGCAACCTAACCAACGCTGAGGAAAAATTTTCTGGCAATTTCAGGTTGTATGCGTCTCCCTCATAACGGCCGTGCTGAGCTTTCCGAACGAGTTCACTCGCATGAATACATCGGATCTGATTAAGATCCTCTTCTCTCAGTGCGGTATCGGAGACGTTACGAATCTATGGTAGATATTTCTGATAATCGCTTGCAAGCGGTCTACATATGGAATTTATTAGTTCGAATCAGGGTTGTCCGCGCTCACCGAGTGACGAGCTCCTTCCGACAAGCGCTCTGAAGATATACTCTATTTTCAGCGATTACAAGCGAAACTTCACGAATGTTAATCTGCCGATCAAGAATGCAGAGGCTGGTCCTGGAGTGTTCAAGTCGATGTGGAATCTCGGATTCACGCTGATTTTCAAGATGTTGATCACAATTTTCACCTTCGGCATCAAAGTCCCTGCGGGTATTTTCATACCAAGTTTGGCCCTAGGCAAGTACAGTCTCGTGGTCAATGGGTCTTCATGAATCGGTTTTTTCGTCATGAACCGGGGGCGAGTTTCCTGGTCATTTTTCTGTGGAGCACGATGCACTTTTCGTCATCGGATCGTACCATTGTGATTTTTTCCAGGCGCAATTACTGGCCGAATCGTTGGCGTTGGGATGGAACAACTCGTCTACCACAATCCTCACTGGTGGATTTTCGAAGGAATGTGTTCTACCGGACAGCAGTGCATTACACCAGGACTCTACGCCATGGTTGGGGCTGCTGCCTGTCTCGGAGGAGTCACAAGAATGACAGGTTTGGTCATCTCAGTGAACCTGTAGCGTTTCGATAGCGGCTTGAGGTGCCATTTCCCGGGTCCTTCAGCCAATTCTCAAGTAACCGAGGCGAACTCTTGCAGTCTCCCTGGTTGTGATCATGTTTGAGCTGACCGGTTCAGTGAATTATATCGTTCCCTTGATGACGTCCATCATGGCAGCTAAGTGGGTAGCGGACGCAATCGGTAAAGAAGGCATTTACGACGCTCATATCAATTTGAACGGATATCCTTTCCTCGACGCCAAAGAGGAGTTCGAGCATACAACGATCGCCCATGACGTCATGCGGCCTCGAAGAGGCGAGGGAAGATTGATCTGTCTCACGCTGGAAGGGCAAACAGTGGGCGAAGTCGGTGAGAATAATTTCTTAGAAAGCTCCGATTCCCCTAAATACACAGGGGCGTAACAGTATACAGAAGCGCCTGTCGCCTTCGCGGCGAAAATTTGAATGAGATAGAATCCTAAGAAATTAATGTCTCTCGCAGAGGATATGCTCCGTACTACGAGCCATAACGGCTATCCGCTCATCGCATCCGACGATAACCCGTGTCTGGTCGGCTTTGTTCTGCGCCGTGATCTCAACATCGCGCTATGTGGGTATTTTTGACGTCAAGAGAAAACTTCCCGAGATATTTTGCGGGACGCATTCCCGCCGAGGAATGGCAGGCTAGCGGAGGAGGCGAAATACATTATTCCTCTTTCCAGCCTCGTTGGCGGGCCAGGAGGTGAGCTCATCCTCGAGAGTATTGTTCGCGAGTACTTCCACGGTGGCTTGGAACGAAGGCCCGCCGCTGAAACTCTCGAGAATCGTCGACTTGGCTCCTATTACTGTAACCGACCACACTCCGATGGAAACAGTTATAGACATGTTCCGAAAACTGGGTCTCCGACAGACGCTGGTCACCAAAAACGGGTAAATCTCCCCATGCTGCTTTTCTCGACCAGATTCGGGAAGCGGCTCGAGGCTGCTCGTCCTGGAAATTCGGTGCGAAATATCCCTGAGAGATGCCTGTCGGTTTTCAGGAAAATTTTGGGCATTATCACCAAGAAAGATGTTCTTCGTCACATCAAACTCTTGGCCAACCAAGATCCGGAATCGGTTCTCTTCAATTAAGGGCCCGAGGAACTTGCGAAGCGAGATCGAGCAAGCGACAGCGTTGGCTACGCGCAAAGTGCGTCTGTGATAACCGAAAACACGGAGAACTTCCTCTGATCCTTGGCGCTCTACTTCCCCTTCCATGACGAGGCCTTGATCGGAGCGTGTTTCTGTCCGATCAGGAGTCGTTGTCTAGATCTTGAGCTATCTTGAGCTCCTGTTAATCTCCGCCTCGGAGGATCTTCGATCATTGTCACGCGATCAAGTTCTGGCTGAGCACCGGAATTCTGCCCGAAGTTCCGACCTCATACTAAACTGTTGACTCCGGAAATCATCTTCAGTTCATCGAGTTTCGATGGAAGGGATATATACGAGAGGAGACTTTCGAATCCCTCCTGAATCAAGAGCTCGTTGCCTGTAGAGGGTGTTACCCTGAAAATCAAAATGTCACTGGAAAACTCCGGTAGGATAATTGTAGGTGGCGTTGTTGATCGTTGAATTCTGCTTTTCTTGATCGAGTTTCCCTGTACATGTGTGTATAACAAATAGACGAAGTTATTAGCAACACGAGTTTTAAAGAAGGTTACTTAATAAACATGATCGAATTTATGCGTACGCTCCCTGTGAAGCGGTAAGGCAATGTGTAGTCTAGGTCTCAAATACACGAATTGTCTCCCTCGAAAGCTCGAATCTTCCCGCTTCCTGCGTGTAAGCCTGATCAAGGATTATGGTGGCATTCCAATGTCTCAGAGAATTGAAATTCAGGTCGAAAATCTCCATCAGCAAGTGGCGCTTATGAGATGAGTTCCTGGAAAGTTCTGACCAGAAATTCAGATGTCTTCCGGACAACTCGAGGCACCCATTCGAAACATTTGTTTTGTCTGTCTTCTGTCCCCAGAAGCCTGGTGACAATAACTCACCGGGGTCCTTCAGACCCACCGACCCGGGGAACGTTCATGAAACTCGCTACTAGCTCGAGCGATGCAGGAGTTATTCCAGATGGATCTGAAGGATCTGTGAGTAAAAAACGGAGCGATATTCGTTCGGGATCAGCGATATTCGTGGATTGTAGCGCAGTTCTCCGAGAGCGAACCATGTGCCGGGCAAGGGACGAAATGAAAACTCGAGTTCTATGCCATACCGATACCTATCGCGTGAGATTACGGGTGAATAATCCCCGCGGACTCAAAGCTACATTCACGCCCGCGTGTCGAAACCGAGATCGCTAGGAGATTTCCTGGGAGCTCACAAGCATTGGGCACGTAGTTACAGCGCCGATTTCGAGAAAAACTGCGGCATCACAGCTTGAACAACAGAACGAAGGTGATGTTATCGAAGATAACTCCCTTCACACGTACGAGTTTTGCCGCGCTGTTTTGCGGGTGAAGGCCCGCGTCTACCGCTGTTATTGGTCAGTGTCTTCTGCGTGAGACACACGTTACGTGTTCCTGGTCACGTAGGCAAGCTCCGTCTCTAAAGGGGTTGAAGATGTCCCGGAGGCGTTTCCTAGATTAAAGAGCGCTCCGTCGATTAGCATGAATGGGGAATTCGATCAGAGGGGAGAAAAGCGAGAATATCTCAACTAACATTAGAACTTTCTTTGTGCTGTCTGACTCCTTTATGCATGACCAATGTTGATCGCCGCCGCTCTGCTGCGGATATCACGCTCTATGGCCGTCTCACAAAGCTTCTCTATAAGAGAGAACCCAACTACAATATTTGTTGTACGGTGATTGCCCAGCGAGAGTTGCAGCGCCGCGGCTACACTTCTTGACCACTAAAATTGTGCGATCGCAACGCCTGGCACTGTTTGCGAAGGTTTCAACCGTACAGGACGGGCTACAGAGAACCAGTCCCTCGGGAAAAACGCGAAATTCCTCCCCACCAGCAATTCCTCGCCTTGCTCTACTCGCTGTTTGCCCGTCATTCGTGGATCTGTCAGAGATGTCATATGATGGCCATGATTGGGAAAATAGCGGAATCGGCATCACAGCTCGCAGAGAATGACTTGGACATTCTCTGCGGCGGCCACCATCCGCCTCAGATGGTGGCGGATGTGAGAGGCCGACAAGGGGTTTCAGTTATAGATTGAATTCGATCTTCGAAATTAATCGCCAAAAAACCCGTAGGAAAGCAATGGTGTGCGTCTCTCTGATCCTGACCCAATACCTCTCTCGGTGCGCCTCTCGAGTGATAGGAAGCACGCGATATGAAGGAAACGACCGACTCTAGATCAGCGGCTGCATAAGAGCCTAAGGGTCCCTCCAATTCTTCCATTTCTCCGACTCATAGGAGCAAGGCCTTTAGGAGCTCCAGCATCTGAGTCGGAAAAAGTTCATCCGAGGAAAATCTATGGAGTTCCGAGCGGCCCGGGTAATATGTACCGTGGGAAAATTCTAGTTCCATGCGACCTCAGCCGGACGATGGTGGTCAGTTCTCGGGTGAAGACCGGTCTGTAACTTGCCCAATTCCTATAGGCACGCACTTACGCACACAAAGCACAAATAGCGCGCTTGATCAACGACTAGAGAAGAAACGGTTGAAGCGTCATTCCTTTTTGTGACGAGTCCCGTGTTTGAGTAGCTGTCACTTTTAAGCGCTGCAACAAACAGTCGTAACCCGTCAATTCGACGTTCCATACAAAACATATCCGATCGGTTCGGGAAAGTTTTCAAGATTTCGGTGAGCCTGTGATCTTTTCCATTGGGGCATAGGGAGTTGGGCAAAATGCGGCCGGACTCAGAAATCCACCTACCGGTTCTGATTTCCGCACTAAGAATATTCAGACTTTTTCTCTGTATTATTCCTCTGCATTCGAATTTAACAGAAACGAGCCGTCTCTTTTCTTGTATCCATTACGATTTTCGACGTGGCTAGATTCGAACCGAAAACTGCGACCCTCAAGCCACCAGAATTGATCGGTCTCATCTGCCCTAATGAAAACGGCGGCGTGAGAACTGACGTGGGTTTTTCGACGATCGCTCCCAGATCTTATAATCGGTGTTTGCGGATGAGCATCGCCGACTGACAGAAGCGTGCATCGACGAGTTCGCGTCGTGTTGATGTCGAACGCGTTGAGCATCGCTTGAAATCAATTTTTTGGGAAGGGACCTTGAACTGGTTGGCGGTGACCTTCGCCTCGCGACGCGAGCTTAATTACCGATGTTCACTGCGATGACTCAACGAAACGACCTTCAGATCTTCCGCATTTCACTTTTTATTGAGCCTCATCCAGCGGCGCGTGTCTTAAGTCAAAAAAGAAAGTTCCACAACGGAGCGGAAAGAATGAATCCCATCAGCTGGGGTCTTCCTGCAGGGGGCGAAAGTTCTCCCAACCGCTGAGGGAAGCTCTGGGTTCAGAAACGAGAACGACAGCGGGAGAATTCCGGTTCGCATCGGACTTGAAGTCTAAGAATTCCGGTGGGGTTCGGAACCGGCACTGGAGGGGGATTCCGAACGATTCCCTCAGCTTCGTGTCTGGGAACTTCGCTGAAATCTATCTCTGGAAGAGATAATAGATTCGGGTTCCCTATCGTTGAGATCAACTCCACGAGCATTCCCACGAGCGAGCGATTCCATTTCGACCGAAACTAACGGTAAAGACCCAAGAGCTGCGAACGCGCTCAAGGCACCGCACTGCGCCGCCCGCAGGTCGGATTCTGATGTTGTGAAGATGAAAAATGATGAAGCATAAGCTTCAAAAAATGTGGAGGCGCGCCCGATGCTAATGGAAGGGGCTTCGAGCGTCATTGGGTCGGCGCCGACCGAATTCCGGAATAGTTTTGACGACAGCCCGACACTAGTTCGGGACAGAGTCATGTAATGCTAAACGGGGCCAAATTCTGTGCGAGGCCACATCGAGCTACGACGATGGCAACGGCGGCGGCAGCGGCTATAGCAGCACACATTACCAGCGATAATTCGACCGCGGTTTCTTGGGAGCCGGCCTTCCTTCATTTGCTACCTTTCAAGAACACCAAGGTCATAAGCACGACAACTGCGACTCACGTAGTCGCCAACTCTGGTTGACGTATTTCGATGCTTGACATGCAGTTGGAATTATTGGTTCGCAGCCGCGCCTTCTCAATGTACCCCGATAGTCACACATCGCATATCATCATCATAGGAGGGAAGAAAAAAAGAAGAGAAAAATCAACAGCTGACTGAGAACTCTTCGGAATAGACTGTAGCGGCGGCGGCAGCAGCGTGTCGACACATCACACGTTAACCCTCAGCGGCGGCGGCAGCCGCACGCTGTCATCCCTGCGAGAGGTAGAGACATCACCTGTTGAAATGGAACTTCCACAAGAATGTTCGCAGCGACTTCTGACGGAACAGGGCTTCTTTTGAAAATTTGACCTTGTGCGGTGCGATAAGCTACTTTTCTGATCGAAAACTCTCCCGAACATCGTGTCCTTTTTCTGAAAATATTGATCACCTTCCAATATTAGACTTTGAGTCCACACACAAGGATGCTGTCCGGAATTCTGTCCTCTCCCCCTCCTGCAGTGTCATGAAATCGTTGAGTGGAATTCATCCCTCGCGGACCCCGGAGGAACAGCGGGGAAATATTCGGATCGCAGTCGATCATCACGCGAAAGGAAACCCCATGCAATTCTCGATTATTCATACCGCGCGTAATGATACCGTCCAATGTTCCAGCTCATTCAAATCATAAATATGCTGAGAACTATACTTGACCCGATTGTGAGCTGAGTGATAAGCAACCAGAATTTCACAACAGACACACTTGGAATGTTACACAAGTCTCGGAAAACACTTCAAAGACGAACCGATACCGATCTCAAAAAAAATAGATACCACCACATGTGACAATGGCCTATCTCCATCGATACTGATGCGTATCGAGAATGCCGCTTATTCTGTCGAAGCGGACAAGAGGTCCGGACACATTGTAGAGAGCCGACGCGAGGGTGCATTCTCAGACTGGGACATTAAATTCGTTCTGTCAGAATGGAATTCAGCCGAAGTTTCCAGCGGTTGCGTCCTTGAGGGAATTTTTCTTCAATTTACTGAAGAAAATCCGTCGTCCATTCAAACAGAATTCTCAATACTCAATTCGATCTGTCAGGTTCTGCGAACGGCCTTCCGATTCACCGGTCCTGATCATCGGATGTCGCTGAGCGTTCTGTCCGGGAGATTCAGCGATCGACATACGCAACGCTCTTCAGCACTCCCCAGAGCGAGCGGTCGCGCCTGCAACGAGCGTGGTTCAGCAAGCCCAAGTTCCAAGTGCAGAACCAATCGAGACGCGTACATATCATAGCTCGTGACCCGACCTAGGGTCAATGCGATCAACGGTCAAACCGCGTCGTTCTGAGTGATCGTTCCAAGGCGTTTTTAAAATGTAGCCACAGATTATCTCAACGCCATCAGATGTGGACAGGAGATTCTGGTGGGAAGTCGGCTTTTGAGTCTCGGACGAGAAAGTCCGCGTGATCTGCCGAGGAGTCGACTTGAATTGAAATTCTGGCTTTTAGTCCGAGAGCGAGTGGACTGCCATCACTATGTCTGCCGTCCCCTGAAATATCGCGCCAGAATTTCACGGTTTGAAGAAGTTGCGGAGGGCGCCGGAAAGAAGTTCCACTCGAGTCGCCTTCAAGGTCACCGTCGAGCTCTTCCGTGCACAAAGGATTGCGGGTTCATTCTCGCTCACGCAGTCAGTCAGTCAGACGCTCGAAGACATGATCCAGCGATCGACTTTGCGAGTGTCCGCTCGGGAACTTGGTCGGCGGCTCGATCAAGAACAAAAGTGATTGGATTTGAGTTTCAAAATTCGTTTCGAGTGGGCTCGCTGCTGCTGCCTCACGACGACCTTGTTTGTTTAACCCTTGACAGTGTTGGGTTCGGCTGCTGTGTTTGTGCGCGGCTTGCGCGGTGTCAAAGCTCTCGTGTGCAGCGTCTTCGCCTTGGGCTCCTCTGCTCTGCTGCTCGCTCGCTCCGTTAACCGTTACGCAATCGATGGCGCTGCAGGGCTTGAATACAAGGTCTGGCTAGAGCCACAAGTCTTCATTCTTTCTTTCTCTCGGTGAGGCAAATCGTGGATAGCCCTCACTCCCGCACTTCCGCCACGGGGCTGCGATCAGTTCTTCTCGGGCGCCTTGTCCAGGCAACGATGGTCTCCCTACTGGGGACCAGTGGACCGTTTTGTTGGTGTTTGGTGCTGGTGCTGTGTCTAAACCAACAACAAGAAGCAGCGGCTGCCGCCAAGTCGGACCTTAATTTAAAAGTTGTTGATGGTGAAAACGACCGGTGGCTCACAAGTACGCGAACGTTCTGGTGGATTTTGACTGTGTTCTCGCTATTGTATCTTGTTTATTATGTAACAAAAGCCATATGGGCGTTTGTTTGCTGGAAACGGAAAGCCAACTTGATAGGGAAAATCCCGGGCCCGGCATCGTTCCTGGTCCTCGGAAATCTCAACGTACTGTTCGAGCTTCGTAAATATGAGAAGATCATATCAACGCACACATGTGAGTAGTAGTAGCAGCAGCAGCATCACAAGTAGAACTCGGCATCGTCGTCATCCATCTATCTATCTATCCATTATCCTCAATCCAATCTACCGAACAAGCGACCGAGCAAGCGACCCAGCGATCGGAAACCAAACGAGCTGAATGCGTGACTTCGGCGCTTTCGTATTTAGCTACTATTTGGAGCTGAGCCTTCTAGAACCTTGAGGAGTTCCCACAAGTGAATTTCGACAACCTTCAGACATCCCTTGGATCTCATCCAAAAGTCGTCGCTCGAAGCGTTGTCGCTCAGAAAATCGACGCCAGAGTTTCTCGCCCCTCGCTCTGATCGTAACGATCGCTCGGTATCGCCCCTCTTCACTTGTCTGCTGTTGTTGAAATGCCAGAAATCGGACCGTGCTTCTGTGTGCGAGCGAAGCCTCCACCGGTCGAGTGTTGATGGGGAGCCCGTCGAGCGGATTCCAACTTTCGATCTGAGAGTTCCGACGACCCATGGAGCGAATCTGGAAAAGGATATCGTTGCAACCCATTCGCTCGCTGCTAAGTTTGAAGCATTCGGAGCCCCCGGTCGCTGCGCGCATGCCGCTTGCTTCGTTCGAACGGAGCAACGACGACGCCGACGGTAGCCCTGCCGTTAACCACCACGGCCGGCGTTCGTTGCTAGAGCTACAAACCATAATAGATTTGGCTGGAAAAAAAGGCGCCGTCAGATGCTTTTGCGCAACTGAACCAGGATCCGAACTTTACGTATAAACCTTGACCCTATCGTCGATTTCCCTTCAAAAGCATAGAGAAAGAACACGCTGTCACTCCGTTGGAGTGACGCGCGATCCGTGAGTGGCTAGCTGCTCAGTGTCTGTCGCTGGAAGTACGGATTCGCGACGAAGGCATACTGTGCCTCTCTCGTCCCCTCTGTTGATCAGACCTTCGGTCGATGGATCGCTCAAAATGAATTTTCGGTGGTCCATGTACGCAACTTCGGTTTATGGTTGTTTCATAATCGCCCCCAGACTTCTGCTCGGGCTCATACAGAAGTCTGATAATTACCCAGCTTCTGTACGGCGAACCGCTATGATCGTCGTCCCTCACTCGTGATATAAGTCCGCCGAAGTCGAAACGAGGCTGATTCGGCCCTCGTTGCATTCCTTGCTGTTTCCATTGCATCGAATCGTTCGATTCGCGAGCGGGGACCACGCGGCTTGAATGCAACCGTTTCATGACTCACTTCATTCACTTTTCCAAGACGCTCGCTGATATTATGCATTCGATTCATGTACAACCAATGTGCTTGTGTTGATGTTCTGATAACAGTGTCTTACTCGGTGGCGAATCTCGAGACAGCCGGGCGTAGTATACAAAGTTCCATTCGCTCTCGATTATCAAGACACAAGGAAAGCGCCCGAGTCAAGTTCGACCGGTTCCGAAAAGCTTCACCGCCGCTCCGCCCCGCAACGCTGAAGTGACTCAGGATACTCAATTGGATAATTGGATAACTCCTTCGGATAATCGCCTCCTTCTCTGGACCGTCGTGACGGCTGAAGCTAATAGGAGCCGTTCGAACCTGTCGAGGGGCCCGCAACAGAAATCCTTCCATGTCTAGTTAAGCGGGGCTGTACGCAAAAACACAAGGTCGTACTTACATAAGTCGAGGTCCCGACACGAGTGATAGCCCAAACGGTCAGAAGTTGGGGCCAAACAGCTGATAATCGATTCCATGAAAGTCTTGGATGACTCTGATTCCTCAGGCGACAAAATAGATCGCAGCTCGGGACGGAGATATGTAGACGATGCGCTCGATGGATTGTTCTAAAAAGTTTGGATCAGGTCCAACATTCCGGAGGGGGGGTCGTTTCGGGCTTGCGGTGCGAACCTACCATCTTCAAAACGCCCAGGTACTCGCTACTGATCTTTACGAAGGCGTGGAAGGGTGCGTATCAGGCACGACGAGCAGCCTACGATCAAATAATGATAGTAATGTCAGCGAGCGCTCCCGATGGCGTAGGAAGGCGAATTCGAAAAAAAAAAACGATGACAGGACTTGACTCGGCAAGTTGTCTAATATCAACAACAACAACAGTAATAATAACAATAAACAGAAGTCTGACGATCGTTCTCCCTGGCGGAATTCTTGGCAAAGCTGCAAGTGGGTCATGGCGTACCAAGATAAGAAATCGAAACTTCCAACGGGATTACGATTGTCTACGTCTGGGCTAACTCAGCCAGAATTCCCCGGGATAGGGAGTCCCGATCGGGCTTGAATGATGAACCCTCAGGATACTTGATTCTGAACGAGCATCCGATGCAATGAGTGAGTCACTCAACACAAATAAATGATTGCTCGTTTCAAGGTCACTGAACGATAACATGCGAAATAAGATCTATGAACAATTTCCCCGAACGGTCCGCTCTATCGGCACGAATGTTCAAGGGGAAACCACCGCTGGCACCAATCGGCTCAAGTGTTTTCCTCCCAACTCGAGACATTCCGGATCCCGTATCTGAACGTCAAAGAATTTTTCAAAAAAAAAACAGCTGACGAACAACTCCACCAGAACAACGGCGGAAAAGCGCGCGCGGACCACGAAGACGGCGCCGGAGTCGATGATGCATTGGGCTTCATTAAAGCGTGTTCGCGGCGATTAGTGCTCCGGATCTCATTTCCTCAGACACCACCAAAGCAGTGATCGGTCTTCGACGCTCGAAGTCATGAGAGAGAAGACCGCGAAAACGGATCGACGAACGCCAGAATTCCGAAGCGCATTCCCAGGATCGCTTAAGTGATTCTGATGCGCGGAATTCTGAATCGATAGCGGCTCGAAGTCAAATTCACAGGTCCGTGAGAATCGCAAGGGCGGCCTCACGATGCGGTTTCGAATAAAATCCGCGTTGAATAACATTCTCGCTGGAAATTGCCAGCCAATCTGTTTAACGGTGTATCATTATGTAAGCGATCCGGTGTGCGGCGGCGGCTGCGATCAGAAATCTGTCCTTGATTTGTCGCTTATCATCGTTATCTGCGGATTTGACGCGCGTCTGACCTCATTGGAATAATCAGTATCTGTATCCAGTGTTGCTTAAGAATTCGAACGACTAAGGGCACGGCGTTTTCTCACCTCGTGACTTGAAAATCTGTGAATCCGCAAGCAGCTCCGATGAATAATCAGCTCACGGTCTGATTATCGGATCGATCGATCTCTCGTCGGGAAGATTCAACGCTCGGATCGCGGTCGAAACCGCCTCGCTTGCCTCGGTCGTTTCAAGTGCGCGACGTGATCCGAGGAAATCCAGCTCGGCGAGGAATTCTCGAGAGGAGCTCGACCTAGAAGAGTTTCCTCACGAGCCTGTGTAATGTTCTCGTTCACAGGGAGCGTCTCGAGGGAAAAATCGAAGACGAAAACGCCCTCCAAGCTCGTGAGGGCTCCGACTCTAATCGGTGTGGATCCTTGGCTAGTGTGCTCGTAATTTCGCTTTCCGGAAATTTTCTCCCGTGACCTTCGCGTTCGCTGCCGTCGCGATCAGACTCGAAGCGATTCATGGTCTTGTCGGCCTTCGCTGGCCTATCTCGTCTCGGGGCCATCACTTCGACGTCCCCCCGTCTTCTGGCGCGCACGTGCGCGTCAACCTGCAGAGCACGAGACCTGCCACGAGGGCCTGAGCCCTATCCTACATGATTGGCGCTGTCGAACGACGTTGTCCGACGACGACGACGACGATATAGACCGGGTTACTGATTACAATGCGTTCAGATTCAGTAAGATATTTGGCCGGCTGAGTTGGATGACTGCGTCTATAGCGTTTCTTTCGCTCACCCCCGTAATGGCTGCGGCTTCAGTTGCGGCTGTCGATGCCGCCGCTACCGCGGGAGCTAGAACAGCAGAAGCGGTGGCCGTCGTTGCCGCAGTAGTAGATGCAACGTTGGCTTTCCGAAGGCCATGGACTTTCCCTTTCAGCACTCCGTACCGGTCGGCCGCTCCGCGTCTGACGTAACGGCAAATTCCGGCTGACGCAGGGGCTTGATGTTAACAACTGGCGTTTGAGGCCCTGATGTTCGTTCGGTCGGCGGCTGGCCGGCCGGCCGGCCGGCCGGCAAGTTACTTGCCCAGCGGACGGGGTTCCGACCAACGGGGCTCTAGTCGGCGATTCCAGCCTCGTGGCGGTCGTGCCGGTGGTCGTCTTCTCCTTCGATTTGGCTTTGATGTTTAAAACGCGTTCTTTTTCTTCTACTTTCCATTGTCGGCGGGTGGTTTGACGCAGCACTTTCCGGGGACGGCGCGGTCGATTTTGTTCTGTCCGGTCGGCCCCCGCGAAAGAGGCTCCGTCGCCGCTCCGGTCAAAGGGTTGTTGGGACCCGCACCGAACGTGGAATTCAGAAACAATACGGAGACGTTCAGGTCGATGAAGAAACAATTCCGGAGGAAGAAGCTACCAATTTCGATTTTTCGCAAAGATGTTTTCACGGGCGAGGATTTGTGACGCTTCCTCCCAGTCGCAAGAGGTTCACTCCCAACGCTTGTCTGACAACAACGACGACGACCACCACTACTACTAGGAGCGAAAAGAAACATATTTCATATCTTTTTTTCCGCTCGGCTAATTCAAGGTTCCCGGTGCCATCCAGATCGGTTTGAGACCGACGAGAGGAAAATGGGTAATCCTCTTTTGCTGTCTAGTACGATCGGAACATTTCAATTGTTGTCAAAAGTGAATGAACATGGCTTGCGTCGCGTCACGACTGAATGTTTGTTGTTGACACGACCGTATCTGTTGCAAGGGCTACGTTTCAATCGCAAGGGCGCGCTTAATTGACTTTTGATGTTTTTGCACGGAGAAAAAACATCGCGTTTCTCCTCCACTTCGTCCTAGAGCTGGTTCGGTATTTTTGTGCGACCTCCTATGCGGTACCGATCACCTCATGCCCTTCGAGCTGATTCAGACTCGAAAATTCCAGCTGAAGATAATCCGGGGTCATCCGAAAAATTAAATTGACAGGAATCCATCCC